ATAAGACAGAATTAAAATTTTATTTTGAAAAAATAATCTATTAATATTTATCTGAGGTACAAATCTTTTTGCACTGATTCATATAATTAAATAAATAATATAATTTTATATTAAAGAAATTAAGTTATAATTCAGATTTGAGAAATTCTATAATAAAATATTGAAATTTAAATTATTATAATAAATTTTGATAATTTAGAACAATTTGAATTTATTATGAGTTATTTTTTTAAAAGCTTTTGCAAATTTTTGCATTATGATTGTGAGATGTGCTATGTGATCTGAGTTTCTGAAAGTTATCCTAACTAATTTGAGATCAGCTTTCTTCCAATTATTTTACCATATAAATTGTCTGCTAAAATGGATAGTGTAAGGAATAATTTTATGTAAAACTATAAAATATCTTATTAATAGATTTGCATTTATTTTGATTAACACTTGTTTTACATTTATAATTGATATTTTTTATAAATAAAATTTTATGTAAACTATAAAATATTTTATTAATAGATTTGGTCTGTTTTGTATTCATTTGATTACTACTTGTTTCACATTTATAAGAACTTTTTGATTGATATTTTTTATAAATAATATTTTTGATTAATTATATGATTTTTATGAAATTTAATAAAAAATGTAAAATATTAATCCTTGCAACTAATATATAATTGATTTGCGGAACTTGTGATTATAAGCTTATTATGAATTGTCATAATCGAATCACGAAACCAAAATATTTTTGGACTGTAATTTCTTCAAAAAAAAAGTGCGCAAAGCTGTTAAACCAAATTATTTGAATACTTAAAATTATATTGAGAGATTATGTTTGGTTTTCTAGTTGAGAAATTTGAATTCAATACCTCGAGGATCAATTTCTAGCGAATGTTGGTCAATTTCATGGTCATAGATTATTTTTAAAAATAATTTGGTCATCGATCATATAAAAAAAACCGAGGTACATGTATATCGGTCATATTCGCACTAGTTCTAGCATAATCTTACTTTTATCAATCTTATATTTGAAATTGTTATGCTGACAGGACAGCTCATTAATTAGAAAAAAAACAAATAATATTCTCATGTTTTTATCAATTACATGTACATGTAAAACTCTAACGATATGTGGTAGAACTTCTGGTCACAAGCATTACATCCCTTTATCTGTGCATAATTGTGTGAAGAAAATTAATTCATTTATTGATTCTCGCAAAGTACGTAGATGATAAATTGATGATAAAGATAAGTTGCTGCTACTTGACATTTCTTCATGGAAATGAGGATGCAAAGCCACAAGGTTATTAAATACATACGCAATTAATTTTTTTGAAAACGTGAATATTAAATTATTGTGCTAACTTTCTTTTATTGCTCGCTGGAAGTGTCAAAACAGAAATATTTTAACTTTTGCATTGTATACTCTTTTTAAGTTGTACGGTATTATCAAGTTGTAATTCTTGGGAATGGAAGCAGGCGGAATTCAGAAATTGATATCATCATCCTCAATACCGAAATTTTCACTATCACTCTCCACTAATAAAAACCTCATAAGCAACAAAAAAACCATCAAGAGCAGAATATTAGAATGTTTCATTAGAACACTCTTCCTAAAGCAAGCATTTTTTTTCGTGATTCACAAACAATAATGCAAAATATGTAGTCTTCATAAATATGTAAATCGATTTATTATTATTATTATCTTTTCAGTTATTTCAAGACACTCGCAAAATAGAGGAAAGAAAGTTAAAAAAGAAAGCTTAATATGAATATTAATTGTTAGAATTTTAGTTTTGAAAAAGTAATTTCGCAATGTAATACGCTTATGATTTGATAATTAATTGTAGCCGGCCAACATTAACGAAAGGATACTGATATTAAAATTTTCATAAAGACCTCACTTAGAAATGTTGAATATAAAAACATAGAAGCTTAGAAAAAAAATTCTTAGATCTTTTTTGGTTGACATAGCAAAATGTGTGTATCAGAGTAAACGAGATAAGGTAATTTTTCACTAAGGAAATTCGAAAAGATTAAACGAATTGACGAATGAAAAAAATATCGAGTGATAAAACGAACCCGTATAAAAAAAAAGCAAAAAGCAGCAAACAGAAAATAATCGTATCAAAACGTAAAATTTTTAAAAGTATTTTTTTAAACCCCATCTTTGATCGATTTCTCGGGGTTTCGGACGAATAGGGAGAGGAACAATCAAGATGTTCGAGGATGTTGAGAAATTAGGAGATGATTTATTTTGATAATTTTTGGACGAGGTGAAGGAAGGAGAGCACATGTTTGAGCTGGGTGATGGCTCAAACTGCGTGTAGTTTTCAAATTCCACATTTGAAGATTCTTTATATCGACATGGAAATGATTCTTTTGGATTATTTGCTGTTTGTGGTCGAGGGTGCATAAAGGAAGCATCATCAATTTCTGAAAAATTATTAAAGATCGGAGAATCTAAATGTCTTATCGAGGGCAATTTGACATTGGAGCGATGTCGAGCTTCATATGTTGGCGCTGGGGAATAATCAAAGAATGATTGATTCGTCATCAAGGGTGGTAAATCCAATTTCATATCAATCATGCGACAATTATTGAATGCGTTTTCTAATAGTTTTTAAGTAAAGATATGTCAATGTTTAAATTCTTAATTCTATTTATATTTTTCAAACATCTGTGAAAATAACTGACCTATTTTCTGACAAGAGCAATTTTGGGAACAATCAACTCGGTTATTGTTATTGATGAATTGCTCGTTAATATAGAGAATCGATGAATAGAATAGATCCGAATTTTGTTGACCAGATTTTAACGAATTGATCTTTGGCAGGGTGGTGAAAGGTTTCTCAATCTTATAAGGTCGCATTCTTCTGTTATTTTCGACAGTGTTATTCAGGAGCTTTGGGGGTCCACGATTCTTAGTAGGCGGAATGAAAACGCATTCAAGATCGAACTTCTTGCATCGTTGACATAAAGGTTTACCGGTGCATCTGGTTTTTTTCTCGCGGCATTGGAGGCAAGCAGTTGTTATGTGGTGTCTTTTAATTGTCATTTTTTTTTTATATTACTATTTTGATTATTATTGGCAGTACAAGCGCAACATAGAAGAAAGAAGGTGAAGAATCTTATTTGAAAAGATTGTAGTGAGGAAGGGCTCAAAGGAATGTGGATGAATGGAGAACCGAAATATTCTCTCCAAGAGAAGAGCATTTTTAAATCTTTAAGTGTCACACAGCGTATATGTTTATATAAATATGTATTATAATGTAAAAAACATTTTCATTTAAGGATTCCACTTTGATTTGTTTTGTCTTTTAAACTTCAACGTCATGTTTTCCATTTTCGTCAAATTGGCGTTAATTTTTTTTGAATTATTTAGAGCAAAAATTTAATTGTATCACAATTAAAACTTGTAATACTGTGCGTTGGTTAAGGCCTTTGAATTTTTCGTCATTCCCAACAAGACCACAATTTTTTATGAAGCACTTGTTTGTGTGTCATCAAAGGCCAAGAGTGAATTCAAATTCCACTGACAAAATTTTCCGAATAATGATAATCTAGGTAATATAAATAAAAATTTCGCATTTATTCTGTGTTATCAGATTATGACATGACACAATTTTGTGAACGGGTTGAAGATCCAGAGAAATTTTCTCACCCTTAAAAAACTTGTTATTGTTGTTGAAAATGCATGTAACATGTAAAAAACGAAAACGTAAAACCGGCAATAATTTTATATACATGCCGGAAAAACAGATGTGAAAAATTAAAAAACTTCGGGTAGATCCTTTTTATTAGTAGATCCTTTGAACATACATATTACAACATATGGCATCATTCAAGAAACGTTGTATTTAGCAAAGATGAATTCTAAACCTATAGCTAAAAGCTTTTTTTTTTTGCGAAGAGTGAGTGTTATTTGTTTCCGAATGCACCATATATTTGCATTTTATTGTTTGCTTGTTTACCAAAGAACCTTCGAAAAAGGAATGTGAGAACTAGTCAAAAAGCGGAAATTCGAAAATAAGATTTTCGCGATCGCTATGTATCACTAAAACCAAAATTTATTGTCAACAATGGTTTGTCGCATGTGTATGGCCAGAATTATCTCCTTATATAATACAAAAGATAAATGATAATAATGCATTCTACCTAAATGAAATTTTATTGATTGCAGGAAAGTTTTCGTTACACTTATTTATCGAGATTATTTTGGGATCTAATGTATCACAAAAATTGGGCGCCAGCTGCATGCTTTATGTCATTAGTTATTCCAATTAAATCTTAGACATTTATTAATGACTCAATTAATGCGTCATTCATAGTTCCGTGAAACTCTTTTATTTACACCTGCATAAAAGAAGGATATTGTGTAAGTGAAGGAATATCACGTAAGCAAAAAAAATAGACCTGAGTCAGCTGAAATTAATTTCATGGAAATTCGAATTGAAATATATGACGTGTTACATGTACTTTTTCTTGGTATTTCTAGGCGGCCATTCTAAGAAATAAAGGTAAGCCAAGATTTGCGAATCATCCCGTATATTTCTGGTTTTTTTTACTCGTAAACAATTTCTCGATGTTGCAATTTTCAGAATAGAAAAGAAAAAACATTCTATTAAGTACTACAAACCGCATTTCACAAATTTCGTAGGAAATTTCCAATCGCAAAAGTTTGGGATAACTCTTGCTGTTTCTAAAATTAACAGTTTATTTACTCGCCAAGCCCATTATTCAAATTTAACTTAAAATGCTAAGAACTCGTTCTAGAAAGGAAATAGGTCACGATAAATATGAAACATTAAAAATTTTACTCATGTTATATTACTCATTTCGGTTATATTATCAACTGATCAAAAAATAAGAAACCTTCTAAAAATACAAACTTTAAAAAATGAAGAGTTACAGATCTGTTTCAATTCAGTAATTCCTTAAATATGTTTCACGCGTAAAATGAAATTTATTGATTACGGGATAATGACATTAAAAAGGATGTAATAATTAAGGGTAGTGGCCATGTGTGTGTATGATTCGGACATTAAATGTATTATTGTATTATTGCACATCGTTATTGTATAATTGAAATTAATTTAGTTATTGTGTCATTGCATATTTTTTTTTATTGTGGAAACTTGGATAGAACAAAACAAATATGCTTATTTCATTGACCCTCAAAAGTACAAGCATAAAACAATAATAAAAATAATACAGGTAATTATTATTCCAGCTTCTAAAAAACATTCGAAATTCTAAAATTTTGCATATGGTTCATGTACATGTATATAACCCGCAATATTTACGTTGCATATAATAAAGTACAACCGGTCCTATCTTGCTATTATTTTAAGATTAATGCAAAGTTTTTAATTAACAGCACATGTAACTTTATTTTTTTACTTTATACTACTTTATAATTTAGCGCTAGATGTGAAACGATTGATTCTCACGATATCATGAGGATTATTTTCAATGTTTCGAATCCGATGACGGCGATGATCTCTTCGCATGAATTCTTTCGTATTTTCCTATTGAGTAGAAATAAGAAAAGTATTTTAGTTAAATTTTAGAGAAAGCAAATAATAATGACCTGTGAAATTTCTTACTTCAATGAATTCGTACATCGAAATTGGGTCTTGATGAATAAGCTTTTGAAGATCGTTAGATAAATAGCGCGACATATTTGCTTTCATTGAAAATTCTAAGATATCGCAGCTGTTTATAAAACGAAATTTAGAATATATATAATATATATTTTCATTCTGCTGCTAAGTTTTTGTATGTAAATGATTATTATATTGTTACGCACACAATTTCAATTTCAATTTCTCTCATGGGTAAGAATGAACACGGATTTAAGTATTCCCAATTATCACCTCGATAATGATCATCACCACGGCGGCGATTAACTTCAAGTTCATCGACGTCTTGATCGCGCTCATCGAGGCTTCTAAAATAATCTTCGAGCTCTCCGCGACTAATTTGCTCGTATTCGATGTCTCTACGGAGTGCAGAGCTAAGCATGTCGGTGATAGCGCCTGGAGTGATAGCATCAGGCCCAGTTAAGTCATACCGTCTGTGTCTTTTATCCATTTCATCGTCGTTGACAAAGTGAAGGATCGCTTCAATCACGTCATTGAAGTTCACTGGGACTGATTTATCGCGACGCTCATCGAGCATCATGCTTAACATGCTTTCTTGTTTGATCATTCTACTCCAAAGCAACAAGGTTTCTTGAAGAAGACCAACTCTATTTCATATAATATTCAAGGATTATTTTGATAGATATTACGATGAATTGAAAATCAAAATTAATTACCTTAAGATTACACAATTTCGCATTTTCTTCCTCCATATTTTTTCCATTTTATGAGATTCCCGCTGAGTATATGTCATTTCTTCATCCGTACCGAGTAGCGAGAAAACTATAACTCCGCCCACATCTTGTCTTTTAGCAGCCTAATATTGTTGTTATTATTATAAAATGACAAATTTGACTTAGAGAGAAATGAAGAAACTGATTCATAGAAAAACATATACCTTCGCCATCCTTTTCCCTTCTTTGATACGATCCTTATTGCTTTCAGCAACGAAGACTAGCCAATCTACGCCACAAAGAGCTTCGTGGAGCGTTTCTTTACTGTCGAAATCTGTCTCACGTATTTCGGCGCCGTATCTCTCCAAATTTCGAATGTGGCGACTATCAGGATTACGAGTGAGAGCAATTATATGGCATTCTTCATCGTGATAACGAGAACGACGTTCGCACATGAGACCGCAAGCTATAGCGTTGCCAATCCAACGCTCAGAAGCTGAAACGGCAATAGTGATTCTATCTTCGCGTGCACCACGTTTTTTCTTAGCGACTGTAATGGACATGTTTCACAATTTTTATATGATATGATGAAATTTTGAGGAAAATTGCGTAATGTCATCAATATTTATAATATTTATGAAGTTCAAAATTAACTTATTCGAAATTATTAATCATAATATACAAAATGTACCCGGCTCGCCTTAACAATTGTTGGTAACCAAAATGGCAAATAATGAGATGATTTCGGATTTCTCACACAATGTCATTGATTATTAGTTTTCTGGCGCTTAATGCTTCGATAACAATAAACAAAAATAAAGAGTGAAGGAAAAAAATTTTTTTTTCCCTAAGTTAAATCTATTTTAGTTAGTTGATCGTTTTGTTAGTTCACTAATTTTTGGGATGGCTTCACACGGGTCAACTGCCTAAATTAATAGAATTATTTAAAAAAGGGTCTAACGAGACATGTCTTTCATATGATTATAAGTATTCAGCCTCTGATTGTAAGTGTATTTTGTCAGTTGATTATCAAAAAAACAAAACACGAGTTAATATACCCGTGTTTTTGTGATCAGCAGATGCGATTGATACTTTCTCTTCCTAATTACGGAGCTTTTCCTTAACAATTATATTACCTTCATTATTGGCTTGATATTTGGACTCTTTTGGAAATCGGAGTTGCCCGTCTCCTGGTAGTCGATAAGGTCGACGGTGAATGATAACAATAATAATAAGCATTATCTCTCTTTAATGGAAACTACATTTATAATATTTGTAAGCGCGAAACAACTCTGAATGATAGTTGACTAAAACTGATATGACTTGTCTGCATGAGTAACACTAAGTGATAAAACTCCCCAAGCTCATTATTTTTAATAAGCTTATTAGTTCAGTGAGCACTTGGTGATTGAGAAGAGCTTTTGTATTATTATATTGAGAAGTACTCTATCGAAAGAAATAAAGATTATTAAAATAATGAGATTGGAAAGAGAAATTTTGATATTAAATTATTTTTTTATATACATGTATAATAAAATTTAATAAATTTAAAATTTAATTTCTTAATATCTTTCTTATTAAATTATGTTAAATTTTTTGTTGCTAATATATTTTTTATTATATTTAATTGATATTTTTTTATTAATTGATTTTAAAATTTAGCTCTTATTTAAATTTTGTTATAATAATCAAAAAGTATTAAAAAACTTATAAAATCTAGATTTATATTATATTATCTATACTGAAAATTTCAAGATAATTAATTTTCAATTTAAAAAGTTATAGGAGATTAGATACTTTATATTTATTACTATAAGTATTAATATTTATTATATAATTAATTTTTTGAGTATTTTAATTTTATTAGCAAATTTTATAATTAAAATAATATAAATTTTCTTTAATATCATTTTTATTTATATAATTAAAATATATAAAACTTGTTTTTATTAAAAAAATAATATATTATTAATTATTAATTATTTAATTTAGTTATTTATAGTGATAACCAAAAGTAATAACTCAGAAATTAAATTTATTAATAAAATATAGTGAAAATTAAAATTTTCTCTCTATATAATTTTATTAAGAAATAATTTTTATTTTTATATTAAAATAAAGTTTATTAGTTAAAGTTTAATATATATTTTTTTCAGATTTTTTAGATTTTTTCTGAAAGAGTTATTCTAATTATAAAGTTAGTATAAAAAAATTTTTATTAATTAAATTTCATTTTTAATTAATAAAAATTTTTGTATTTAATTTATAATTAAAGTAATTCTTTCAGAAAAAAATCTAAAAAATTATATATTAAATTATAATTAATAAACTTTATTTTAATAAAAAAATAAAAATTATTTCTTAATAAAATTTTAATATAAAAAAAAATTTTAATTTTCATTATATTTTATTAATAAATTTAGCTCCTAAATTATTACTTTTAGCTATTACTATATATTAATTATTATTTTTAAGTAAAATTTTTAATTTTTATAATAAATCATATTTCAAAATATATATTATAGAAATTTTAACTTTCAATTAAGTTTGAAATTTATATTAAACTTGAATAATAATAATTAATTTATATTTAAATTTTAAATTATTTTTAAAAAATAAATTTAATTTAGATTTAATTAATAAATAAGAATCAAAATATAGAATAAAATTATTTATAATAATAAATAAGATAAAAATTTTTATAATTCTAATAAAAAATAATTATTAAATTAATATTTAAATTTTTATTATAAATATAAATTTATTAATTATAGTAATCTTATAATTATAAAATTGAAAATTAAGTTTATAAATAAAATATAATAAAAATTAAAGTTTTTTCTTTATATTAAAATTTATAAGTTATAATTTAATATAAAAAATCTAAAAAAATATATAACTTATAAATTTTATTTTAATATAAAAATAAAAATATTTTTTAATAAAATAATAAAATTTTAATATAGAAAAAGAATTTATTTTCTAATTTTATAATTATAAAATTATTATAAATAATATTATTTAATATTTAAATATTTATTTTAAAAATAATTTTTATAATATTAAAAATTATTTATAAATTTAAAAAAATTAAAATTTATAAAAATATATAATATTTTAAAAATATATTAAAATCTATTTTTAAATATTAATTAAATTAATTTAATAATATAATTATAATTATTTTTTAAAATATTATTATATATAATTTAAATATAAAATAAATATATAATAGTTATTAAAAGTAATATAATGCTTAAATTTTTTATTAATTATAATTAATAAAATACATATTTTTTTATATATAAAAGTTTTTAAATTTATTAACAAGTATTTTTTATTTTTAGCTTAAAAATAATTAAAATTCTCTAGTTTAATATATATTTTTTTCAAATTTTTCAGATTTTTTACTGATAACTTCTTCTAATTACATATAAAGTT